GATTGGAGAGGCTAGAAATAGACCTTATTCATGTGGAAGCCAGATCAACGCAGACACTGTAGCTCAAGGAGGAAAAGAAAAAAACCCACCACAAACAGAACAAGAGAATATCCCTACCTCACCCCACACCAAGGAATAAATTCCAGGGGATTTTAAAATGTACCATACAAAACTTTAAGAGGAATAGAAGAAAATTTAGGATAATCTCTCTCCATTCTTCAGATAGGAAGGATTTCTAAAACAAGGTACAATAAACCCTAACCATAAAGAAAAGGATGGAGGGAATTCCCTGGTGGTCCAGGGGTTAGGACTCTGAGCTTCCCTCACTAGGGGCACAGGTTCAATCCCTGGTCATGTAACTAAGATCCTGCAAGCAGCATGGTGCAGCCAAAAAGAAAGAAAGAGATGGATATATCTGACTACATTAAAATCAATAGGGACTTTTCTGGCAGTCTTGTGATTAAGACTCCACTCTTCCAATGCAGAGGCCTTGGGTTCATCCCTGGTCAGGGAACTAAGGTCCCACATGCCTTGTAGCATGGCCAAAAAATTGATTTCTGCTCATTGAAGAGGCCACAAAGAAAGTGAGCAGACAAGTCACAAATTTGGGTATTCTCCATACATCAGTGATAAAGCAGTGATAAAGCTTGTAAAATTTATAAAGAACTTCTATAAGTTGATAAGAAGAAAATGAAGCATCCAATAGAAAAAGGCCAAAGAACACAGACATTTTATAAGAAAGGTCTGATACACATGTGAAACTTGACCCAATGATCAGGGAAACTTTCCTAGTAATCAGGGAAATTAAAGTTAAAACCATAATGAATATCATTTTACTCTCAATCCATTAACAAAAAAACTCAAGGGTTGTTAACATGAAGTGTTGGCAAGAACTTGGGAGCATCCCCGGCGGCTCAGACAGTGGTTAAAAAACTGCTGAGAACTCAGGAGACCAAGGTTCAATCCCCGGGTCGGGAATGTCCCCTAGAGGAGGGCATGGCAACCCACTCCAGTATTCTTGCCTGGAGAATCTCATGGGCAGAGAAGCCTGGCAGGCTGCATACAGTCCATGGGGCTGCAGAAGAGTTGGAAATGACTGAGCCACTAAAAATAACAAACAGCAAGAACCAGGAATGAGAGCGATGCCTATGAGGTATAAGTGGGAATGTTCATCAGTTCAACTCCTTATAAGAAACAACCGGTAGGATTTTTGTGAGTTGAACATTTGCGTACTGCATGACCCAAGGGTTGCCTTTCTACATATACGTAATAGGGAAACCCCTGCAGAGGTGGACAGAAGCCTTACTAAATAAATATTCATTAACGTATTGTTGTGATAGTAAAAAAAAAAGGAAAAAAAAGCAGAAAGAAGTCAAATAGTCACTGTTAGAATAGGCCATTACACATGCACATAATGGATTGATACACAGCAGTACAACTGAATTAAACACTATTATAGGTGTCAATATGGATGAATCTTAGATATACAAGGCTGAAGGGAGGAAAACAAATCAGAGAACAATACAAGCACTTTATTACTGCTTTTACAATAGTCAGATCAAAGCAAAATTACATTAAGGGCTTCACAGATATGTGGTTATAAACACTTATAAAGGAAAGTGGAGAAACTCAGGACCAGAGTTAACCTGGATTGGTTAATTAATATAAGGAGATTGGCTAAGAGATGGAAAATTAATATGCTTTTGTGATTGTTCTTGAATCTAAGAGTAGATGTATTAATATTTTTAATATCTCTCACAGGATATAGAGGTGGTGGGGAGAGTAGAGGCTGGGATGACATGAAAGCCTTGGAATATGGGAGCCAACAATTTGTTGCACCCCTGAGCATGTGTGTCTTGCCCCATATCTGGAGGTGGTCTACTACTCCTCCACTCAAATAGGAGCTAGTTTGGTGACTTGCTTTGATCAATAAAAGGTTGAAGTAATGCTCTGGAACTTCGGATTCCAGGCTTAAAAGGACTGGAAAAGCACCTCTCATTTGGTGCTCAGTTGCCAAGCTGTAAAGGAAGCCAGGGTATTGACTGGCAGCTGTTCAGAGCCACACCCTGGAGAGCAGGGGTCATTCTTGATGGTCCAGCCCAGCTTAGTCTCCAGCTGAATGCAAAGAGAATGGGAGCAGGTAGCCCACAAGGACTTAGATCAGTCAGCATGGCTCTCAGCCATCCTGCAGAATTCAGGCCTGGGGTGGTTTGTTACTCAGAAGCAAGGGGAGCAGTACATACAAAGAATCCAGTGATGCTGGCAGGCTTCTGCTTCTCGAGTTGACCGTGGGGTCATTGAGCGTCGTAATTGTGTGCTCAGCCGCTCAGTCATGTCCGACTCTATGATCATGTGCAGCCCACCAGGCTCCTCTGTCCTTGCAATTTTCCAGGCGAGAATACAGAACAGGTTGCCATTTCCTACTCCAGGAGATCTTCCCAACCCAGGGATCAAACCCACACCTCTTGAGTCTCCTGCACTCAAGGCAGGTGGATTCCTTACCACTGTTTTGCCACCTGGGAAGCCTGCTTCAAAACTTAGATGCTGGCCATTCACATATAGTAATCTGAACATATGAAATGCTTCAGAATAAAAATATTTTTATTAATAAAAAACCCCAGACTTATTGCAGATTGTATCTCCCTAGTTTTGATTTGTATTTTCTATGTAACTATGATTAAACATCTGTTCCTGTTTGCGCAATGATCCATTTGTATTTCTCTGAGTTTCTTGCTATATTCTTTGCTACTTTATGTATTGGGTTGCTCATTTTTCATATTAATTTATAAGAACTTAGCATATTAAGGAAAATAGCCCTCTTATATCCAATGTTTCTATTAATCAAGTATCTCCCCTAGTTTGCCACTTATAAAACTTGACTTTGTGGTATGTCTTATTGCATATAATTTTTAACTTTTCATTAGTCCAAAACTGCATGCAGGTCAGGAAGCAACAGTTAGAACTGGACATGGAACAACAGACTGGTTCCAAATAGGAAAAGGAGTACGTCAAGGCTGTATATTGTCACCCTGCTTATTTAACTTATATGCAGAGTACATCATGAGAAACGCTGGGCTGGAAGAAGCACAAGCTGGAATCAAGATTGCCGGGAGAAATATCAATAACCTCAGATATGCAGATGACACCACCCTTATGGCAGAAAGTGAAGAGGAACTAAAAAGCCTCTTGATGAAAGTGAAAGAGGAGAGTGAAAAAGTTGGCTTAAAGCTCAACATTCAGAAAACTAAGATCATGGCCTCTGGTCCCATCACTTCATGGCAAATGGATGGGGAAACAGTGGCTGACTTTATTTTTTCACCATCTGAAAATCACTTCAGATGGTGACTGTAGCCATGAAATTAAAAGACTCTTACTCCTTGGAAGGAAAGTTATGACCAACCTAGACAGCATATTAAAAAGCAGAGACATTACTTTGTCAACAAAGGTCCGTCTAGTCAAGGCTATGGTTTTTCCAGTGGTCATGTATGGATGTGAGAGTTGGACTATAGAGAGGGCTGAGCAGAAAGAATTGATACTTTTGAACTGTGGTGTTGGAGAAAACTCTTGAGTCCCTTGGACAGCAAGGAGATCCAACCAGTCCGTCCTAAGGGAAATCAGTCCTGGGTGTTCATTGGAAGGACTGATGCTAAAACTGAAACTCCAGTATTTTGGCCACCTGATGCGAAGAGCTGACTCATTGGAAAAGACCCTGATGTTGGGAAAGATTGAAGGCAGGAGGAGAAAGGGATGACAGAGGATGAGATGGTTAGATGGCATCACCGACTCAATGGACATGAGTTTGGGTAAACCCTGAGAGTTGGTGATGGACAGGGAGCCCTGGCGGTTCATGGGGTCGCAGAGTCGGACATCACTGAGTGACTGAAGTCCAACTTATAATTTGTGGGTATCATGCTTAAAAAGATGGCCCTCCTCTAAGATGATCTTTTAAGCCATCTCAAGTACTTTTATAGCTTCATTTCAAGCCTAAAAAGTTTGAATTAATTTTGCACAGGGAAGTAGGGCCCAGGTTAATTTTTTGTCAAGATGACTAATCAGTTCCAATAAAAAGAACCCAGACATCCTCCACTAACCTAAGTCAACAACCTAACTCTTGTATTTTAAGTCAACTTCGGGACCCTCCATGGTGTCTCACTGATCTTTTGCTTCACTACACCAAACTCTTAAATTATGTTTTACATCTGCAAACTGTTCTCTTTTCAGGATTTACCTGTCCACTCCCCATGTTTACTTTCCCTGAAAGAACTGACTCTGTCAGTTAAATGTCGGCATTTTAATCGTGATTGCATTGCATTTAGATTGGGGACTGTAATAGGACATGACATCTTTGCAAGATTGACTTTGGAATTGAGAATAACGTGTGTCTGTGTTAATTTGAATCTTTTATGTCCTTCGCAGGATGACAGAGCCTGTGAGCCAAGGTTGTGGGCACTCATTCTGTCCGCAAGGCAGGACCCGGGTCACAACCTTGGGCTCTACTCGCCACAGATCCCATCCCCTCCTTTTCTGCAGAATGTGAGCCTCTGACCCACGCCAAACCTCAGTTCAGGCCCAAGATGGTTACTAATTGCCCAGAAATTGTGGAGAACATAATACTGTTCTTGTGCTTAAGGACAAGCAATAATGATGTCATCTTCCGTGTGGAACTGAACGGGTGGTTTATAGGCACTAAAAAAGCAGCCTGACCTTGGGCAAGCTGCATAATCTCCGGGCTTTTTCCTCCTCCCTTGCCTGTAAGAGGTGAATCCACCTGGTTTGGGGTGACATGAGGACTTGAGGGAGGGAAGAAGAGGACACCTACGTTCCTTGGCTGAACCACGGAAGAGCAGGGCCAGATGTCAAGGCCCAAGGGCTTCTCCTGCCTGCCTCCTGCATGTCCACCTGCACCCCCCCCCCAGTCCCCAGGGACACCAGCCCAGTCTACAGGGTGGAGGTGCACCCCTCACCCCCCACCACCACCACCCACCTCTCCCAAGCCAAAATCAGAAGTCAAAGATGTTTATTGTTCTACGGACACTTCTGAAAAGAGATCTAATTGAGAAAATATACAAAGCACTTCAAGAGTTTCATCTCCAGAGAGCACCAAAGTCTGACTGGAGGTGTCGGAGCCCTCCTCTTCAGGGCTCGGGCTGAGAACGGTTAGCATATCGAACGATCAGTAAAAACATGCAAAAGTGAGAAGGAAAAGGAAAGTAAACGCTGCATTCCCCCAAGCAGAGGGGGCCAGAATTCCAGAGAGGAGGCAGGGTTCACAAGTACCAGCTGGTTCTCCCTCCCCTCCCCCCCGCGGTTTCCTAGAAGAGCTCTATCCCGGAGACAGCAAGGAGCCCCCTTCTCTCTCCGAAGGACCCACACTGCATCCCTGCTCAGTGCTCAGCTGTCAGGGTTGTCCCTGGACAGGAGAAGACACCCCCACCCTGTTGCTCTGTGGCTGTGGCCGGTGGGGGGCCCTCTTGTGCTCCTGGGGGGCCAGCGCCCCCAACCCTGGCTCCTTCCTTCTTTGGTTCCACCCGGAGATAGATTGTGCTTGACGGACTCATCTGAACCCCCCCACCCCAAACTCCAGGCTCCCACAGGTGGGCTGAAGGCACTGACTGGAGTCCTGGGGATAGCCCCAGGACAGCCACCTTCCCTTGTGCTCTGGGGGGGTGGGTCCATCCTCGGGCACGTTCCCTCCATCCTCAGTTCAGGTCTGAGAGCTGTAAAGTATGGGATGCGTGCGGAGCAAGCAAAAGGCCTTTTAGGCCCTTCCCAGCTGTGCAGATGTTCCTGAGCCCCACTCCACACCCCTCCCTCCCGACCCCATCCCTTCGCCAGAACCCCCACATGCCCCGTTCCTTCCGTCCTGTCCTTCCCCTTGGGCCAGCAGTGCTGCTGTGGACCAGGGCCCCAGGGACCTGACCTCAAGATGCTGGTCACAGAAACCACCTTGGGGCATCCCCTCCCTCCCCCACACCCGAGAGGTCAGCAGAGTGGGAGGTCTTGAGAGGTCACAGCTCTGGTACAAGGAGGTGGGCAGGGCTGGAGAGAAACAGGGAGACACATCACATCTATAGGGAAGGCGTCCAAAGTACAAGCTAAGCAAGGGGAAGGAGGGCCAGAGAGTGGCCAGAAGAGAAAACGAAAGAGGGTGGGGGTGGGTCTGGAGAGTGGGGCGGGGCCTGTGGGGCGGGGGCGGGGCCTGTAGGGAGGGGGCGGGGCTTCACACGACCCCGCAGATGAGCGTCTCCACCACGAAGGTGTTCTCAAAGTGGCGGATGGCGTTGCAGTTCTTGGCCTCTCGTTTGTTGATCCCTGGGAGAGAACAGAGAAAGCCTAGTGAGACCTGTGTCCTGGCCTAGAACGGGCTGGGCCACGAAGGCCACCAGCCTCGGCGCCTGAGCAGTGTCTCACGACCAGGGGTGGGGAGGCCCAGGAAATGACACCCAATTTCACCCAGAGGCAGCATAGTAAAATGGCATGAGCGCAATAGCCGGAGTAGACCTCCCAGCTCTGCCACCTTCCTGCTGGGTGACCTCAGGGCTGTTTGTTGACCTCTCTGTGCCCCCCTTTCCTCACCTCTAAAAGGGGCAGCAAGAATAAAAGATGACAAGGATGATGATGGTGATGACAACTCACACTACCTTAGGAAGACACAGGGCATGTAAACAGTGCCTGGCATGTAGTAAGTGCTCAGTTAACATTAGCTGTCATTACTGCTGCTGCAATCCCAGCTCCGGGGCCAGGCTCAGCTGGGCCGTGGTTTGGAGCTCAGGGCAGGGGCCAAGGTGGGTGGAAATGGCCACTCACGCCTCCGGGTGGCCCGGCGCCGCAGGCGGTAGGTGTCCTTCCCGCTACACAGGTGGGAGATAAAGGAGCCCAGAGCCTCCTTGTCGCTGACGTGCTCCGTGACCACCATCTCCTCCTGGATGATGTACGTCTGTGGGAGGTAGGTCCCCCTCTGCAAAGGGAGAGTGGCCCAGCACCAGGTCAGGTCAGGTCAGGTCAGGTCAGGTCAGGTCAGTTCAGTTCAGTCGCTCAGTCGTGTCTGACTCTTTGCAACCCCATGAATCGCAGCACGCCAGGCCTCCCTGTCCATCACCAACTCCCGGAGTTTACTCAAACTCATGCCCATCGAGTCAGTGATGCCATCCAGCCATCTCATCCCCTGTTGTCCCCTTCTCCTCCTGCCCCCAATCCCTCCCAGCATCAGGGTCTTTTCCAATGAGTCAGCTACCAGGTCAGTACCCAGGCCCAACTCTCGGGGTCCCCAACTGCCCACAGACCTCCCCCCACCGACATCCTTCTGCTTACTCATCAAGTCCCCTCAGCACCTGAAATACCCGTTCAACATGCCCACCCCTTCATCCAGAGACTGCATTGCTCACCCTTCTGATGTCCCTGTGCACTTCCAGTGCTCACCCGCACTGCCAGTGAGTCGTGTGTGTGTGAGCGTGTGTGTGGGCGTGCGAGTGTGGACATGTGTGTGGGTGGGGGCATGTGTGTGTGGGCGTGCGAGTGTGGACATGTGTTTATGGGCATGTGTATGTGTGCATGTGTGTGCGTGCTCGCACATGCATGAGTCTGCCCCATCACCCTAGGGGAAGTGCTCCTCCGAGGCAGGGCCCTGATCTCCTCCCTGCACTGCTGACCATAGTGCAACATGGGGCACAGCCGTGAACGCTAAGGAAGCTGGTCTTGGGGTTCTTAAGTGAGGGAGGCAGAGTGGGGGGCTGGGGGGCAGAAAGGAGAGGCACTGACTCTGTGTGAGGGAGAAGGGAGCTGGAGGCAGAGGGACCGACTAAGGGTGCTGGGGCCAGCTGACAGCAATGCCCAGGCCCCCGCATCCCTGCTGGCCCCAGAAATCTCCCTTGTCTCATGGTGGTGGGGGGACAAGGGAGGGACAAGACGCTGCCGGGATCCCGCTCACCTTCACATTCATGAGGAGCTCCCAGAAGTTGCGAGGGGGCAGGACGATGGTGGTGTTGAGCTCGATGACGTAGCACTTGTCCAGGGAGATGTCATGGTAAGCGGTGAGACCCTGAGCAGAAAGAAGGGGCCACATCAGTGTCTGCAGGTGAGGGCTTGGCCCCGGCAGACTGTGCGAGGCGTGAACCCACAGTGCTCCCAATGATGTACCTCGGATTCCTCAACATCAGGGCGGGGCTCCCTTCTCCCGCTCTCCTTTCCTAGGCAGTGTCTGTAGGGATTCCACTTACTAGATGAAAACACTATCAAATGCTTCAGTTGTGACAAGGATTCTTCTCGGGAGGTTACACAGCTGAGGTCTGAGAATCAGGGTAATGCCCTGACTGTATCTCATCAAACCTGGGTGGTCTGGCCACCCCTGTGGATGGCCAGGACCCTCAGTGAGATGCTCCTCCCCACCTCCGAGTGCTGCATCTTGATAAGCAGTCATCGAGGAAAGAGCTCATTAAAAGGAACACTGGCCTCGCCCATGAGAGCCAGCATCTGCAGCTGTCGGGTGGCCCAGGAGAAAATCAACCATGACGAGTTCACAGTCAGTGAGAAATGCAAGAACTACATGATAAAAGTGGGGTCTCCCTTTGGACTCTGTGGGAGAAGGCGAGGGTGGGATGTTTCGAGAGAACAGCATCGAAACATGTATATTATCTATGGTGAAACAGATCACCAGCCCAGGTTGGATGCATGAGACAAGTGCTCAGGGCTGGTGCACTGGGAAGACCCAGAGGGATCAGGTGGAGAGGGAGGTGGGAGGGGGGATCGGGATGGGGAATACATGTAATTTCATGGCTGATTCATGTCAATGTATGACAAAACCCACTACAATATTGTAAAGTAATTAGCCTCCAACTAATAAAAATAAATGAGAAAAAAAAAAGTGGGGTCTCTAAACCCCTGATGGACCTAAACCATAGACGTCTGCGCCATAGTTTGTACTGCACGGTATGTGCTCCAAGTTTGCACAAAGGGTGTGGGCATTCTCCTTTCACGTCTGTTGCTCCTCCTGGTGCCTGCTCGCTACCCCTGCCCTGGGCCCCGGCCGGCCTCACCCGCTGAAAGTCGTGGATGATGTCTGCAGGGTCGCCGCCCCCAAACTGGGGAACGGGCACGTTGATGCGCTCGTAGTTCTCCTCGAGGTAGATCTTCACGTCCTCCTCCAGCTCCATGCGAGTGTGGGCCTGGGAGGACAGGGAGTCCTCGTAGAGGACGCCGCAGTGGAAGAAGTTGTCTCGGGCCAGCTGAGCAAGGCGGGGAGCGAGGTGAGAGAGAGAGAGAGACAACCTGGTCACACAGTGCCCTCTCTGAGGCCCCTGCTGCCTGCCCAACCACTCTTGGCTCTGGAGGCCCGGGGAAGTGGGGAGGGTGGGGCTGGGATGCCCATTTCACAGATGTAGAAACTGAGAAACACGGGAGTCAGGGAGGGTGAGCGGGTGTGCCAGTTCCTAGGAGGACGATTTCGCTGAGGCTCAGTTTCCTCCTCTGTAAAACAAAGTGACCCCTTAGGCCCCTCTGCCCCTCCAAGTCCATGAGTCTATGGCGGTGAAAGGGGATAGACCAGTGGGAGGACAGATACCCAAGAAAGAGCCTGGGGTGGGGGTGGGGTGCCACCCTCCACTGCCACCAGGGGGTGCCCGCCCACCCTTCCTGCTGCCTCTGCAGGGGGCCCTGGAGACCTTGGAGGGACCAAGAGTCAGCCTTGTTATCAGATGCTGGTGGCAACCCCCTCCGCCCCTCCCCAAGCTGTGTTCAACCTCGCACAAGCCCCTCCACCTCCCCGGACCTGGGCCTCCTGAGAAACCTTGACAAATGCGGTGTCCCCCATTTGAAGGGCCCGCTTATCATTCCATCAACAAGGGAAGGGAGGTGGCCGGGTGTGACCAAGGCCATGTGACTGACTGGTGGCCGTGGGGGGGGGCCCCCCCTCTGGCTCCTCCAGGTCATGATAGGCAGACGCCCCTTTCTGTTTCAGCTGCGCTCTCCGGGGAGGGTGAATCATCACACATGAATCATACCATCCCAGGGGTCCCAAGGGTTTCAGGGCGCAGGCGTGAGGCTGCTCTGAGGTTCCCCATGCCCTGAGAACCAGGCATGAGTTGGGGCTGTGATCAGAGGGGAAGTCCAGGACAGCAGCACAGCTGCAGCAGGAAAAGGCCCCAGAAAGCAAAAACCAGGAACCAGGGGGAAAGCAGGTCATGGGGGAGGGGAGAATGCCGAACAAAAGGGGAAGTGGGTGGGTGTCCGGGAGCTGAGGTTTCAAGGGGAAAGTCACTGGGACTGCAAGCTCTTCAGTGAATTCCACCCTAAAGAAACTGGGTGACAAGGAAGTCAAAGCCCAGGGCTTGAGGGTGGGAAGGGGCCACTTGGGTCATAAACAACTGGCAATTCCCAGCCTTTTGGTCACTGAGATTCCCCAGGTTGTTGTTTATGGTCATTAAGCAAACTTTCATTGAACTACCTTCCCTTCCGAGAACTTGGGGGCCCTGACTCCCTTCCCAGGCCTGGGCAGATGACAAGGCTGCTGTGACTATGGCCAGGTCTCTGGCCCAGCTTTGTGCCCAGATGGCCTGGGCGAGCAGATGACTGGGTGTGATCGTGGGCGGGGGCCACCCTTACGGGGGGCGGAGGTGACTCTGTAAGCCACCCTCCACCTTTCATGGGTGGTAGCCCAGATGACCAGGCACGGAATGGGACTTCCTTGAAGCACAACTTGCAGGGCACAGGGGGCCGGGCTCTGAGGGGCTTGCAGAGTTCTAGTCTCTGCTGCACCCCGAATTTCTGGTGCTGATGCTCTGGGGTCACCGTGGGAAGGGGCTGCCAACCTCACAGCCCGGATGCTAATCCCGGCTCCCCCATCATGGACTCCCAGGAGAGCTGTCAGCTTCAGATGTGTCCAAAGAGACAGATAAGGCCACTCCTCCAGACCCCACGGCAGTCAGAGGATGGGGTCCCAGTCCTGTCCCCTGGACCAAGACCAGGGAGGAGGAGGAGGCTGCGAATCTTCTAGGCTTGTGGGGCACTCTCCCCACCTGGGGGGTGGGGTGTTCACTTCCTCCTCTAAAGGCCACTGTTTCTCCCCACCTCCCTCTGCCCACCTCACCTGAGCCAGGAAGAAGTATCTGTAGATGTAGACAGAGGCGAACACCAGACCCATGAGCAGCACGATCATGCCCATCGACAGGTAGCACACGCCGCCCACGGAGCCCCCCTTCTTGTAGCGGTGGTAGGGGGGCCGCTCCTCCTGCGGACGGCAGGGCAGGGTCAGCCTCGTGGTGGTCCCGCGTCGGCTGGGGATCCCTCCCACTCCCCCTTTCCCAAAGTGAGGCCTCACCCTGCTGGCTGGCAAGGAGCCTGGGGGAGGGGAGGGCGATGCTCGGGAAACACAGAGCATCATCTGGAAGGAAAGGAAGCATCCCCAGGCCCCCAGCTCTTCCCTCTAAAGAGAAACCGAGCCCCACTGGGAAGCCACATAAAATGACTCACAGGGACTCAGCAAGAGTATTTTGAAGCCCCTATGCCATTAGTCCCCTTCACTATACCAGCTGTGACCATAGTAGATTCTTTCAAACTGGGGATGGTGGTTGTGGGGGAAGCACAGACATGACCTTGATGACCACGCCAGGCCTCAGAACCTGTAGGAACCAGGGTGTATCGGGCAGGTTGGGAGCCACTGGCCTGGACCAAGGAGGTTCCCTGTAGCTCACAGGTGGGGACAGGGCTCCGGGAGGCCCACAAGGTCTGGGCACACGTGCTTGTCCCCTCTGGCCAGCTTGGGCAGAGAGCAGTCTGCTGGGCAGCGATGGAATCACCAGGCACTGGCGTGGAGCAGGCGGTCAGGAGCAGAGCCTGCACGGTGGAGTCTAGAGGCTTCTGGAAGCCAGGGCCCCTCTGCCGGGACGGAAACGTGGCTGGAGCAGCCAGGGCAGGAGGTTCCTGGAAACCCCTCTCTGGGGAGCCAGGCCCCGGTTCGGGACAAGTAGTTACAGGGCTGCCAAGAAGTAAACCATCCTGACCCAGCTCCGGTCCACACCCGTCTGGGCCAGCGGTCGGAGGTGGGTGTGTAACTTGGAAACCCTGCTCTCCCCAGAGCACTGGACTGAGAGTCTAGTGACGGGGGTCTCTTACCCAGCTGTGTGGCCTGGGCCATCACTCGTCTTTATGCCTGCCACCCCTACCCCACCCCAGGCCTCATTCACCCTGGAGACCTCACGAAGGCCCAGGCCTGGCTCTGCCTCCAGGGTCCATCATTCAACCCTGCCTCTACGGTGTCTGGATGCAGCTGGGTGAGGGTAGAGGCCAGTACCCCGCCCTATCTCCGGTCTCGGGGAGCTGAGGCAGAGTTGGGGGGTGCAGAGGGGAAGCCCAGAGCCTGGACCCTCTCACTAATGGTCTGCTTCGCCCTCTGGGTGCCTCCACTCTTCACCCTGCAGCCAAGTGGCCGGGAGTGTAGACACAGTTCAGGTCCAAGTTGCCCAGGACAGGCCTTTACTGTCAGTGCACACAGGGGGCCCAGCCTAGAAGGGCTGGGGTGCAGGCCTGCTGCGCTTGGGGCACGTGGGAGGGTGGGACCTAGGCCTCAGGGAGCAGAAGGGCATCCCCTGTGGTGGGGGGTGGGGGTGGGGGTGAAGCCTCCTGACTGGGGCTCTCCTCTCTCCCCACACCCTTCCTGCAGGAAAGTGAAAGTGAAGTCGCTCAGTCGTGTCCCACTCTTTGCGACCCCATGGACTGTAGCCTGCCAGGCTCCTCAGTCCATGGAATTTTCCAGGCAAGAGTACTGGAGTGGGTTGCCATTTCTTTCTCCAGGGGATCTTTCTGACCCAGGGATTAAACCCGGATCTCCCTCATTGCAGGCACAGCAAATGCCTGAAAGACACGCCCCCATCTCTAGGCATATGTATCACCAGGCCAGTGACCCCCACTCCACCCCCACGCCTCCAGCACCCTGGGATGGAGACAGAAGATGGAGAGGTACCCCTGTCCATCCCGTCCCCCCTCACAGGCTGGGCTATCTGCAGCCTGGGGCCTCTCCCCACCCTGGCCCTGCTGCGGGGTCCCTGTGATCCGAAGAAGCACCTGGTGAGACCACCCGTTTGGCTGGCATCTCCCCAGCACCCTGGGGCTCCCTGGTAGCACTGACCAAGGTCACCAGTGCATGTGGCCACTGCCCATAGCACAGCTGCCAGCAGTGGGTGGGGGGCTGCAAGGGCTTTGACTCTCCAGTGGGCTCCCAGGACCGGCCGTGGACAGGGTGACCGACGGCCAAGCTTGGCCAGTGACTCACAGGAACAAGCCACCCAAGGGGATCCAGCCATCCTAAGCGGGTCCCCAGGAAAGGTGGGTGACCCAAAAGATAGGCCAGGCGCCACACCCCCTGCAAATCCTGCCCTGGGGATACAACATTTGTATTCAGCGAGACGGGTGGGACTGCAGAAGCCAGAGGTGCCCCCAGCAGGGGCTGTGTGCACATGTAGGGAGCCTCTGACCCTCCGACGGTCCTCCTGTGAAATGTGAACAGACTCTTTCTGACAGGGTTTTGTTGGGATTAAAGAAGACACAGGCCCTGAAAGCCCTTCGTAAAGGATCAAGTGTTAGATAAAAATAGCAGGTCTTTATCAGCTAAACCTTTCCTTTTCAGGGCCACCACCGCAGCCGGCTGTCGAGGCTGCACTGTGGCCATGCTCTGCTCCAGAGAAGCAAACGCGAGCCTGTGAGAATTGCTCTTAAAACAGAAAACAACCCCAAAACAAAAAAAAAGTCAGTGGTTATAAAGCAAGAGCCCAGAGGCCTGTCCACAGTTGAAGTTCAGGAACAAGGTGAGGCCTACCAGTTTTATAACCGCCTTTCAGCTCCCGGCTGGGGCAGGTCGCTGGAGGAGGGGCTGGGCAGGGCACTGAGGTGGGGAGAGGTCATTAAAGATGGCAAGGGAGGAGGGGCCCCAGAGGAAAGTGAGGCCAGGCTAGTGTGGCCCAGGACAGTCTCCAGCCGGGACCCCTTGATGCCCTACCCCCATGTCCTCATATGTCTCTGTGGGGGTCCCTGTGAAGGCTTGGGATCCCCCGTCCCTTTCCTAGAGGTGAAGTGGACAGTGGTTTCTGATCCTGCTTCCCACGTGGCACAGTGGTAAAGAACCCGCCTGCCAATGCAGGAGACACAAGAGATGCAGGTTTGATCCCTGGGTTGGGAAGATGCCCTGGAGGAGGCAATAGCAACCCACTCCAGTATTGTTGCCTGGAGGATCCCATGGACAGAGGAGCCTGGCAGGCTACAGTCCATGAGGTCACAAAGAGTCGGACATGGCTGAGCATATACACACACATCCTGTCCCCACTAACAGTCCTGAGTGCACACCCATGGCTCAACCCTGCTCCGCTCCCTACCCGACACCCCTCTGCCCTGGCGTTCGGGGACCAACCCCCCAGGAGCATCATGGCTGAGCAGCAGCGACGGGAGAGCAGACCCAGAGGCCGCTGGTGTCCCAGCTTCCAGACAGAGGCACCAGGAGGTGAAGCCCCACAGAGGCGGGCCGCCCTGAGGCCTCTGGATGCCTGGGCCGGAACCCAGGGCCTCACCTTTAGGATCCTAACTGCTCAGAGCACCCAGGAGGTCGGCCAAGGGGGCTCTTTCTTGAAGTCACCTCCCCTCAGCTGCTTCACCTGTCATGCTGGAGCCCCCGGAGAATGCCCGCTCTCATATGGAGCAGTCACCCCCCCCAGCCAGGTATTTGGGGGGCTTCCAGAAAGCAGGAAAAGACAGTCTCCACGGCAGCTGGATGTCCCAGGCAACAGGCCTCGATGTGTGCTTGTGTGGAGCATGTGGGCCACGTGTCTGGGACCCGGGAGGGGCCCAGGCCTCGGCCGGCCTGTCTCACGGAGCCCATGCTGGTGTTCACTAAATGATTTGGCAAAGCCAGGGCCTCAAGAGTCAGGGGAACTCAGCCAACTGAAGCATTAACTCAGAACCCCCCCCCACCCCCGCCCACCCCAACCCCTTGCCCCAGGGCTCATGGAGAGAGCTCCCAGCGTCTTTCCCTCAGTAACAGTGCCCAGAATAGCTGCAAGAGGATGAAACTCCAGTTGCCGGCTGCTCGGAGGAGGGTGGCAGGGGAGCCAGAAATGCACCCACTGTGGGCCCAGGCCAACGGCCATGGTCGGGGTCCCCACCCTCATCTCCCCAGCACCATTCCTTCTTCCTGAGCATCTTTCTTTCCCAGGCTGCAGACCACAGAGATGAGGCCACTAGTGAGAGAGACACTGTGTGTGTGGGTGAGAGAGACAGAAACAGAAGCCTCGCAGGGGTAGGGGGCTGGGCCTCCTCGCAGAGCTGTGCTCAGAAGTGCAGACATCAGCGGGGTGAATGCTGAGGAAGAGTCGTGAACCCTCCATCAGTGAAACCCAGGGTGGCCCAGGGACCCACTGCTGCCCCAGGAAGGGCGTGGGCCGCAGAACACTCCCCACAGCCTTCTGCTCTGCTCATATGCTCTCCTGTTCTGCTCCTGAGAGGCGAGGGGAGACCCCAGAGAACAAAGGCGGGGGAAGACAGATGCAGAGCCGGCAGAGCGCTCCTGGGGGACACGGTTCACCAGGCACTGGCTGCGCTCCCCTGGTCTCACCAGAAACTATTTTTTTTTTCTGGTAAGAGAAACTCGTCCTCCGTGGCAATCTGCTGACAGCCTGGAAACACACAAGGACAGACGGGCTGAGGGCAGCACGAAGAGGAGAGGGAAAGGAGAGAGAAAGCAGAAAAAAGTCACCGTGGCCCAAGCCCAGACGCCAGAGCCCCTCAGGGAAGGCCCAGGACCGGCAGGCAGTGGGGGCGTGAGCACCCAGCCACAGAGGTCCTCTTAGCCCAGCCCACGGGGCCGGTGGGTGGGGATGGGGCCCTGGGACCTGAGGATGCGGAGCCCTGCTCCATCCTCTGGGCTGGTTCAGGGACCCTCTCCCCCGCCAACCACTTCGGGAGACCCAGCTCCCTCCTGCCAAGGACTTGAGGCCGAGAGGTGGAAAGTGAAATCTGATCCCCAGGTATGTGCGCTGGGGGAGGGGGTGACATTAATCAAAGGCCAAAGCCAAGGAGAAAATTACAGCACCGAGAAGATGACTGTATTGACCTCGCTTCTCTCCTCTTGGAGGGCCCCCAGCCCGATCGTTCGAGTCTGTGCATGCCCACACCTGGCTCTGCGCGCATGTGTGTGTGTGTGTGTGTGTGTGTGTAACACATGGGTGAGCAAAGACACAGGCAGATGGTGGGGAGAGGGGAACTGGGCTGAGAGGCGTAGGGCTGGCCAGAGAGTGCTAAGAGGGGCGCTTCCCATCCAGCCCACTTTCTGAGCTGGCTTCCGGCCAGCTGCCCATCAGAGCAGGCAACTCATTATCTCAGAGGCAAGCACCACGTGGGGAGGGTGGGCAGCTGGAGGCCCAGATGGGCCCCCACCCCCATCCCCTCCCGGCCCCACCGAGGCACTTCCTTCCAGCAGAAGGTCTGGGGACAAAATCCTCCTTGTTTCACTTTTCTACAGAGAAGCAGAGGGAGGCCCACAGTGAGGATGCCACCCTGAGCCTGGCCCCAGGGGCCTGCACTCAGGTTGACACTTTACTGTGACAGTTTAGAGGGTGCCTTTGTGGGGGAGAGGCACTCAGAAACACCTCTGTTCATCAGTTGGTCCTTCCAAGGCTTTAAGTCTTATTTTTGATTCAGTTCAGTGACCAGGGATGGTTCCAGGGTCACCCTCAACCGGAAGAGACCTTTCTAATAAGCTTTCCTCTGACAGTCCATCTGGTTCAGATGGTAAAGGATCTGCCTGCAATGCGGGATACCTGGGTTCAATCCCTGGGTGAGGAAGATCCCCTGTAGAAGGGAATGGCAACCCACTCTCCAGTGTTCTTGCCTGGGAAATCCCATGGACAGAAGAGCCTGGCGGGCTGGAGCCCATGGGGCTGCAAGGAGTCAGACTGAACGAAGAACACTCGCTCTAATAGACTGAGCAACTAACACGTCCACATTCTGACAACCCATCAGCATGGGACCAACCCAAACGCCCTGTCTTGGTGAAGCAGCCCCTGCTTATACTGTCCTGGGCTACTGTAAATGCTGGGCGCCTCCTGAACTTACTGGTGAGGCGGGTGGCCATGCGCGGGGAGGGGGCCTTGGTCTATGTCAGGCACTCGATGTGGGGGAAATGTGCCCACTGGTAGGTCAAGGCCACAAGAGGTTCACAGAAATGAACTCTCTTCCCAAGGCTGCAGTTCCATCAGGGGACTGGCAGAGCCAATGTGCAACACCCAAAAGCCTCCCCTGACCCTTCAGGACTGGGGAGCTGTGAAAGTTTATTAATAAGCAGATCTGATGTAAAGGTGCTGGGATATTAATCCTCCTCCTGGGGCCCCATGGCTCCCCCTTGCCAGTTAAGAGTGAGGGGACCCTGCCCAACTAACAAGGTTTGCTGGAGGTGGGGGAAGCACACTCAGCAGGCTCAAGGCCACTGCAAACGGCCCCCAGGGAAGAAGATGTTGATATTTCCATTTCATGCTGTTTGAGGGGGAAGAGAGGACACTGGACTTGGGAGCCAGAAGCTGGATGTCAGAAACTGCCAAGGCGACGCTGGCATCCGCCATCCCGCCCGACACCACGAGCAGGCTGCCACCGGAGAATGTGCGGCTCCTGCGAAATCCGGCAGAGCTTCTGATGGAGTTTGAATTGTATCCTCCCACTGTCTGGCTGGTCCTCCCTCCTGCCTGAATCCTGTAGGGTGTCAGGGCTCAGTTTTCCAGGCCTCAGATGGGTACCTGGCTCTGGGAGAAGCAGCTGGGAGAAGAAAGGTGTGAGCGTCCTGCGTGCTCTCTGAAGGCACAGGGGGAGGAAGGAGGTTTAAAAGGCCTCTTGCAAACTTTAAAAGCTGCAGGCCAGACCTTCAAATAGGAAATGTCCCCTTCCCATCCAAGCATCAGAAGAAGATGGAGCTGCTCTGATCCGGACTGCAGAGCAAACCCCCCCAACCCAGCCTGGGTGGTTACTGATGCTGCAGTGACCACGCCAGGGCAGGGGAGCTCGCCAAGGCTCTTCCTGGAATTCGGCACTCAGGGAATCTTCGCTCGGGTGTGTGACACTCACCTCTGACCACCCTCTCCTGTGTCCCCTTCTCTCAGGGCACAGGTCATTCTGCAGCACCCAGCTTGCCATACCCCAGCAAGGTTTAGTTAGAGCCATCAATTTGAGGAGGGGCCTTGGCGCTGAGGAAGACATCCCAGTAGCCAGCAACGGGACGGGCGGCGTAGACACCTTTGCCGGGGCCACTTCAGAGCCAGACTGAACCAAGCTCTCCCTCCCCTCCTCGTCCGCCACGCGTCCGGTCCCCTCCGGGCCCTCCCCCGGTCGGACTCCTCGCAGCTCAGACAGTTTTCCACGGGCGGAAATGCCTCCTCTACCCCAGGCCCGAGGGAAAGGGGAGGAGGGGAGCTGGCGGGGGCGGGGTGCACCGAGGTCCGCCCCCACAAAGCGCAGCCTCCGGGATGGAGGGCACCGGGGCACCGCGGGCTGGACCGGGTAGCCCAGAGCTCCAGGGAGCCGGGAGAGGAAGGAAGTGGAGGGCAGGGAGCCCCAGGCGGCCCGGGGTGGAGTGGGATCAGGGCACTCAGCCTCACAAGCCCGAATCTCGAATCCCGAACGTGCGGCCAGGCGAGTTCTAGTTTATTTTCATTTCATGTCTCATCACTTTCTGGTCCACAAATTCAGGTACGGACTTACAGCACATCCCTCGCCCCGCCCCCCCTCCCCGTCCCCAGCAGTCTCCCGTTTGGGACGAAATCCACAGTCCCTCCCCCTTCATTGGCACCAGATCCCCCCTATCTCCTTTATTCCCCACCAATCACAACCCACCACCCTACTTTGGGGAAAACAGTGTCCAACTCTCCTCCCATCCCCCACCTGGGGACTCGACCCGCGGCCCCTCCTCCCTGATTGGAACCAGACGCCTATACCCCCCACCAACATTCCTCGAACTTCTTCGGACCAGCCCCCTCCCCTCTTTAGGGACCAGGCGCCCAGGGCCCCCCTCCACTTTTAGAAGAGACCTGGAGCTCTTCCTCACCTGTCCCCAAGGGACAGCGACCGGACCCCCTCCCGTTCTTCAGACTTAACGCTTTCGGCTGCCGCTGAATGCCGGGACCCAAGCCCCCTCCCCACTTCGGGATGGGAAGACCCACCCCGGACTCCCAGCCCCCGCTCCTCCGCTCGAGACGCCCGGGTCCCAGTGAGCCTCGGGCAGTCGCTGCAAGCGGCAGGGCGAGCTTCGGTCCCCTGCACCCCCCGCCGCCCGAGATCCCCGGCCCTTCTCACCCGAGCCGGCGTCAGCAGGATCTCAGCGGCCGGGGCGGGCGCTGGGGCCGAGACCGAGGCCGAAGCCTTGTCGGCCTTGTCGCCCTTGATGCCGGCCACCGCCGGCTGGAAGCTGATCTTCACCATGGCTGCGCCGGCCCGAGCGTCCTCCCTGCAGCCTCCGCCCGAGCAAAAGCCACTCGGTGCAGCCTCTCTCGGTAGCACCGCCGCTCGGCTCTCCGCAGGCACCGGAAGTTTGGATCTCTTTCGGGTCCTTTTCTCTAACCCCACCCCCAGCCCTCTCCGCCCCTCGGCCGCCACCCCCCACCCCCCCGAGGGAGGGCCTTGGCGCCAGCCGCGCCTGCGCCCCCTTCCCGCGGTCGGGTCTCGCAGTGACTCCTGCCGGGCGCGCTGCTCCAACCTGGGAACGTCTGAGGTTCCCGCAACCGCTCACTCACTCATTCAGTCCGTCCGTCCATGCATCCATCCATTCGTACAATCAGGCACAGACCCCATTCGTACATCCATTCGTACAATCAGGCCCCTCCGCTGCCGCCTTATCCCTTTCTGCTGCTTCTCCAAGACCAGCATCCTCAGAATTCACAGTCTTTGTTGAAACCGTGTTTGCCGGGCAAAGGCATCTTCTAGACAAGTTCTCCATCCCCTTTACCCCACTTCCCATCCCCTTCTTCGGCAATGCTGGAGCCCCGGGTGTACCTGGTCCCACCGCTCCCTCCCCCCACTTCCGTGTCCTGGGCCCTGCGAGGAGGCTTCAGGGCCAGGTGCCTAACGTTTGCCTTCGTCCTGCCGCTTGCACCCATCTACACCTCCTTCATTCTCCATCAGCCTTTCCCCTTCATCCTTAGTCCTGGCAGAACCTTCCTGACGGCCGCTGGGAGTGAATGCGAAGGACCAGGCGAGAGAGAAGTGAAGACAGTCCCTATTCTTTGACTCTCTTGGTTACCGGCAGTAAGGGTCCTGTGGGCCATTTCTCAACTACCCAGGGGGATTCTGGCAAGTGTGATGGAAAGATCCGCAGGACAGGGTATCTAGAGGCTCATTCCTCATCTTGGGATGGCTTTGGGATGCTCGTCACGCCCTCTTCCGTGACTCCTCCCACCCTCCGGTGGACCCTGTGGAGCAGCCAGGATTGGCCCCAGGGGAAGGTGTCCTGGAATCAACCCCTGAAACAGTTCATTTAGAAACTAAAATCCCAAATGTGAAGTTTTACCTGTGTTTTATCTCTTTCTCCAAATTGAATCGTTGTGTGCTGTTCTTAAAAGAAATCTGGTTTATTACGATGTAAAGCACTGGTCGTTTATGGCTTACCATCATAATTAAGCCCTAGCAGGTCAGTGGACCACTGCTGAAATGCAATGGTCTCAGCAAAGTGTTTACCACCACCCTTAGAGTTCTATCAGCTCCCCAGAGCTTATCCATTTTATAACTGAAAGTTTGTACCTTTTGACCAACCTCTCCCTATTTTTCCCATCCCCAACAGCTGTCTCTGGTTCCATGAGCTAAACTATTTTAGGTTCCACATATAAATTAGATCACAGGTAGTGTTTGTCTTTCTCTGTCTGGTTTATTTCACTTACGCATAACATTTTCAAGGGTCATCCATGTTGTCACAAGTGGCAGGAGTTTCTTGATTTTTATGGCTGAATAATATTCCATTTTATAGATACACCACATTTCTTTTTATCCATTCACCAATCAGTGGACATTTAGGTTGTGTCCATGTCTTGGCAATTGTGACTAATGCTGCAGTGAACATGAGAGTGCAGATATCTTTTCAAGATACTGATTTCATTTCCTTTGGCTGTATACCCAGTAGTGGAATTACCAGGTCACATGGCAGTTCTGTTTTTAATTTTTTGAGGCACCTCCATACAGTTTTCCATAATGGGTATACCTGCTAAGTATATTAAGTGTATTGAGGCGAGAGTTCTGCTGAAAAAATCAGTAGAAGGATACAAATCTCTGAGAAATCTAATGAATAAATAAGAGAGAAAATATCAACACATTTCTATATCCTATAGAAAGAAGATATAACTATAGATAAGGTGGATATTACAAATTATAATGTATTTTATATATAATCATATCTAATAAACATAAACATCCTGAAGTGATGATTTTATAGAGAAGTATTTTTTGGCCAAAATGGAGCCAAGAAGTAGTAGAAAATCCTAATGCCCTATAATCAAGGAAACTACTGGAAAAAGTTCTCAAACAATTATCTCAAAAAATAGTTCTGAGCAGCCAGACCAATTAACTGGATAATAATTCTTTCCAACTAAAGCAACAGTTAATTCCACTGATGCTCTGATGAATTTTAGGCATAGATGATACATTCTGATAGAAAAGTCTGACAAATAAAAGAGAAAAACAATTTTAGCTATGAATAAGATACAAAAATTCAATTATAAGAAAAGTGAAGTGCCATCAAGTAGACGCCTAAGAATAAAGACACAGATTTTCTGTTTGAAAATCTATTTGGGGAGAAATGGGTTTGAAAAATAATGCTTAAGAGTAATAGTTATTCAAACCTGAAAAGCAGAGAAAAGCATAAAGGAAACAAAACAAGTATTATGACAAAACCCACAATAACCACTGTTAATGTGCTGTTATTTTCTCTCCAATACTTTTTACTCTGTGTGTGTGTGTGTGTGTGTGTGTGTGTGGTGTATGTATGTGTGTGTGTTACAAAACTGGAACCACATATTGTATCTGTGTTTGTGTTCTCAACCGAGGGTAATTTTGACCCTCAGGGAATACTTAGTAATGTTTGGTGACATTTTCGGATGTCACAATGCAGAAGGGGAGGGGGGCAGGGTGGGTGATACAGGCCTCTATTGGGTACAGAGACCAGAGATGCAGCTGAACATGTTTTAATGCACAAGACAGAATTATTCTTTGTGAAATATCAATAGTGCCAAGGTTGAGAAACCCTGATTAATATCCTGTCTTTTTTCTTAAGATAATTTCCATGCTTTCTCACATGACAGGCAGAAATCCCCCCCTCCCTTGTCCCTGCTGCCCATGTCCTAGTTTCTGGACCCTGTGAATGTGTTACCTTGCATGGTGAAAGGAACTTTGCAGACATAATTAAGGTTGCGTGTGTGCTAAGTCACTTTCGTCGTGTCTGACTCTTTGCGACCCCGTGGACTATAGCCCGCCAATCTCCTTTGTCCATGTGATTCTCCAGGCAAGAATACTGGAGTGGGTTGCCATGCCCTCCTCCAGGGGATCTTCCCGACCCAGGGATGGAATCTGTGTCTCTTATGTCTCCTGCATTTGCAGGCAGGTTCTTTACCACGAGTGCCCCCCCTCCCCAATTAAGGTTATGAACTTTAAAATAGGGAGATGATCATGGATTATCCGTGTGAGCCCAAGCTAATCACACAGGCTCTTTAAAGCAGAGAACTTTCTCTAGCTAGAGTGAGAAGGATGTAGCAGAAGGAAAATGGAGAGAAATTTGAACTCTGACTGGATGTAGTGCTGCTGGTTTGAAGATGAGGCGGGTGAGAAGAAAAAGGTTGTCAGGTAAGCAGGTGCCCTTAAATAGAGGAGGGGGCTTCCAGCTGAGAGCAAGAAGATGGAGACCTCCGTCCTACGAAGAGCTGGATTCTTCCCCCAACCAGAGTGAGCCTGGAAGGGCATCCGTGTCCAAAGCCTCAGATAAGGAGTCCAAGCTGGCCGGCACCTTGCTTTTGACCTTGTGAGACCAGGTGCGGAGAAAACAGTGGAGCCCATCTCTACTGTTGACCTACAGAACTCTGAGCTGAGCAGGCTGTATTGCACCAAAGCAGCCGTATATAAAAAAAAAAAAACACGTCTGGGGACTTCCCTGGTGGTCCAGTGGCTAAGACTCCAAGCTCCCAATCAGGGGGGCCAGGGTTTGATCCCTGGTCAGGGAACTAGATCCCATGTGCCACAACTAAGACCCAGTGCAGCCAAATCATAAATAAATAAAATTATTAAAAAAAACACGTCTGACTTGATTAAAAACTGTCTCATATTCATGAATCTCTTGGTGTGTAAATCTTTTCTTAAAACGTCTTTTTACTTAAATTTATTTATTTTTAATAGGAGATAATTGCTTTATGATATTGTGTGGGTTTCTGCCAGATATCAACATGAATCAGCCATAGGTACATGTAGGCCCCCCTCCCTCTTGAATCTCCCTCCCTCCTCATCCCACCCCTCTAGGTTGTCACGGAGCACCGGATTTGAGCTCCCTGCATCATACAACAAATTTCCACTGGCTGTCTAGTTTCACATATGGTAATATATGTGTTTCGATGCTACTCTTTCAATTCATTCCACCCTCTCCTTCTTCCCCTCCCCATGTCCACAAGTCTGTTCTTATGTCTGTGTCTCAATTGCTGCCCTGCAGATATGTTCATCAGTATCTGATACGGAATGTATCAGATACGTTCAACATATAGTTCAGCAGTTACTATATGATATTTGTTTTTCTTGTTTGTAAATCTTCAGGCTGCTTTTCAAACATTGCCATGGTCCTCTCCAGAAATTTTTATTCAGTTTATCCTCAGTCATGTTGCTTGTGAGAAACGGTTATACCACCTTTGGTGAAGTCATTTACAATGTGTCCTTTAATTTGATGAGAAAAAACATATACCTCAGTATTATAATTTTAAAAATTGAATCATAGTTGTTTTGCAATATTGAGCTAATTTTAGGTGTATAGAAAAGTCATCAAAGTAATCTTGATTCAGTTATTTTTTGTGACTATATTCCATTATAGGTTATTATAAGATAGTGAATATATTTTCCTGTGCTATACAGTAAATCTTCAATGTTTATTTTATATATAGTAGTTTGTTAATTCCATACTCCTAATTTGCCCCCCCCCCAACTTTGGTAACCATAAGTGTGTTTTCTATGTCTATGAGCCTGTTTCAATTTTGCATATAGATTCATATGTATTATTTTTTAGATTCGGCACCTGTAAGTGATATCATGTAACATTTGTCTTTCTCTGTCTGACTTACTTCACTAAACATATTCTCTAGGTCCACTCATGTTGCTGTAAATGCAATATTCCATTCTTTTTGATGGCTGACTATTACAATACCCCATTGTATATATACCACATCTTCTTAAGCCAGTCATCTGTTGATGGGCACTTGCCTTATTTCCATGTCTTGACTATTATAAATGATGCTTCTGTGAACACTGGAATACATGTATCTTTCTGAATTAGAGTTTTTTTTTTCCCCAGATATACATTCAGGAA